ACCATCTGGACCTGCAGCCTTGTTCTGGTTCAGTCTCTCTAGCTGCCTCTTCACCTGACTTCTAGATACAGAAAAGTGGGAGGGGGAGGGAAAGGAAGCAGCAGCATCTCCTGATTTAGTTGAAGACAAACTTGTGAATGTAGAAGAAAAGTCCATGACCGAGGTTGAAGATAAAACATCTGAGGTTTGACAGGAAAGCTGTGGGTCAAAGGAGGGTGAGATGTYTRTTTGKCTRGGGGCAGGAGAGGAGGARRATGAGCTTGTTCCTGAGCTGAACCTGTTGAAGAATGTGTTCAGCTCATTTGCTCTGTCCAGACTTCCATCCATCCGATTCTCCTTTTGCTTAACCTGTGATCTTCTTCATCCTTCACCACACATCTCTGATATTGTTCCTTTTCAGTTTACTCTCCAGCTTCCTTCTATGAACCTCCTTGCTGTCTCTGATCTTGACTTTGAGCTGCTTCTGTATACTCCTCAATAACTCCCTGTCTCGATCCCTAAAGGCTCTTTTTTTATTGTTCAACAGTTCCTTTAGCTCACTGGTGATCCAGGGTTTGTTATTAGGGAAGCATCTCACTTTTCTGCTGGGGATGGTGTTGTCCACACAGAAGTTTATATAGTCAATCACACACTCAGTCATGGCATTTATGTCATTTACATTTGGCTGGCAAAGAACAATACAATATGTAGCTTCAAAACATCCCTGTAGGGCTTCTTCAGCTTCCTGTGACCACTTTCTCACAGTCCTCATAGTTACAGGTTGTCTCTGAACAAGTGGTTTTTATTCTGAGCAGAGATAAACAAGGTTGTGAACTGAATTACCCAGAGGAGGTCTTGCATTGGCGATATATGAATCCTTAACATTTGTGTAAAACAAATCCAATGTCTTGTTTTCTCTGGTAGAGCATTTGACAAACTGTTGAAATGTTGGCAGTGTAGCAGAGAGTGAGGCATGATTAAAATCACCAGATATTGCCACAAATGCATTGGGGTGTTGTGTCTATATCTTAGCAACAACAGAACTGACAATAGCACATGCATTGTCAGCAACAGCTGAGGTTGGAATGTAAACAGCTGCCAAAATAACACTGGTGAACTCTCTTGGTAAATAATATGGACAAAAACTTACTGCCAAGAGTTAAATGTCTGGACTGCAGTGACGAAACTTCACAGTAACATGTCCTGGATGACACCATCTGTTGTTGACAAGCACTGCTAATCCACCTCCTTTCTTTTTCCCGCTGCTCTTTAAATCTATGTCTGCTCGTATAGTCTGGAAGCCTGGCAGAGAGATGTTGGCATCTGGGACATGATCCTGCAGCCATGTCTCAGTGAAACACATAATAATGCATTCCATATATTCTTGCTGAGTCCTTGCCAGGGCTTGAAGTTCATCCAGTTTGTTAGCTAATGATCTCATGTTGCCCATTAGGATTGATGGAAGGGATGGTTTATATGTGTTAGCTCAGCGCTAGCAAGACAAACAAGTTAAACTGAGGTCCTCCATCCATATTTTCAGTTCCAGGCTGAGTCATTTCTACCTTCTCCTCTCTGTCAACGCTCTCTGGTTTCATTTAAAAGAGTCGATCATCAGATAYTGTCCAAGATTAACCTTCAGGGTGGATATAGCTCGCTAGCAGCCTCGCACCGAGGACCTATCCACGTCATCATTTACCCAGAATGCTTTGTGTGGAAATAAAATGGTCCCGTTCGTGTTAAAATATATATTTTTAACTTTTAGTTTAAAAATTATAAAAACTAAATATCCTACAGTATTTTTACAGTCTTTATTTTACAGTTAAATTATATGCTTATTAAATAAAGTTTAATGTTACAACTAATCGGGGATCTCTTTAAAGACCTAGATCTATTGGGCCTCAGTTAGACCTTTACACACTCCTAATGTTACAACTCTGTGGTGCACACATCAGCAGTGTGCTGAGGATGACATGGACCAAGGTGGACATACATAAACTGGTTTGAACCTGGTCATAACTGTGTCACAGTCCTAGCTTTTTTTTGTTAAAGAAATGTTTCTTAAATAGTTCTGAAATAGAACCTGTTCAAAGCAGCTGATAGAAAACTTTTTCTTACCACTCTAACAGTTGTGCTGTTCCTTTGCTCCTGGCCAGCTTACATAAAACAGTCATTTCCACACCAACACAAACTCTGACAAACCCCTGCAGCAGAGCACTGATGCTAAATTAACCCTCTGTGTGCCTTCCAGTGCCAGCTGGGAGTGCTGCCTCTGGGCACAGGCAATGATCTGGCCCGGGTTCTGGGCTGGGGTCCATCCTGTGACGATGACACTCAGCTGCCACAGATCCTGGAAAAGCTGGAGAGGGCCAGCACCAAGATGTTGGACCGCTGGAGCATCATGACCTACGAGATCAAGATCCCACCCAAACACAGCTACCCCGTCAGCCAGGAAGGAGCTGACGACTGCCAGGTAATCAGTAATCACTGCAGGGCCTCCACACAGACAAGACATTTTAACATTTACTCCAGTTAGATTCACAACTGGACAAAGAGAAGCAAATCTGTCCCACAATGTGTGTGTGTGTCTGTGTGTTTTCCTACAGTTTCACATTTCAGCGTATGAAGACTCAGTAGCTGCTCACCTCACAAAGATCCTCAATTCTGATCAGCATCCAGTGGTCATCTCCTCCGCAAAGTAAGTTTCCTCACTTGTAGCAGGGCTTCCCTAAAAAACAACTTTAATTTAGTGGGAAAAACATGTAATACTGTTTGTTTTTTTACCACTGAGTCCATTATTTGGTGATTTATAAAAATCTGTGGTGATAGAACAAGTACATGAATGAAGACAAAATAAACACATACTGTGTATATATACACACACACACACAAAATATCACAACAACAAAAAACAATATATACAAATCAAATTGAAATGAATGGAGGCAGAAAGAAGAAAAATCTTATAATATCTGCCCCTTTTTTCTACAATTAATTTAAAGCAATAATAATTAGGAAAAAAAATAAAAACTTCAATTCATTCTCAAACAGTAACTTATGTACTGGTATACATTAAACAGTTTCATATTTAACAAACTTATTTTTATCTTTCTCTTAAACACATTGAACTAGTATTTTTATAATCTGCCATCTGCTGGACACTTTTTGTTGTGCTCATATGTAGACGTCCTATTTTGCAAATGCTGCCTTTTTGAAATTTGGTATGCTTGTTTGTCTTTGTGTCTATGGTGTATAATGATGTGATTGTGATGCTGTATTTCTGAGTGTTTTATGTGCTGCAGAACAGGAACCTGCTGTAAAACAGCAATTATGCTGAGTCAGGCTTGATTTTTAGTAATCTTTTCCTGTTAAATAAATAAATCAAATCAAATCAATCATTTTCCAGAGTATTCCGTAATCTTATTCCCTGAACTGAAGTACATCGGTCCTTCAAATTTGTTTGAATTCTTGGTTTCACAAACATCTCAAGTCCTTTAAGATTATAAGAGCTTTATCTCTTAAAATATAACTGGGGGTGTGTATGTCGGGGTCTTCTTTTATTTATTTATTTATTTATTTATTTATTTATTTATTTCTCACTCCCCCATTTCCCGACTGACGTCTGGGGGTGGGGCCCTGGTGGGGTCATACCGCCAGGTGGGGCCCTGGATTAATGGTGGACTGGGAGCTTGGGGGGGGCGCGGGGGTCGGGCTTGCACTCTGGCTTCTTTGGAGCTGCGTGGACTCAGGGGATGTGGCTCCTGGTTTGTGTGGTCGGCCCGCTGGCCGGGGTGGTCGCCGGGTTCCGGCGGGTGTCGGCTGGGGGTGTACCTCTGGCCATGGGTGGTGGTTGGGGGATAGTCGGGGCGTGGCCTTGCTGGGGCGGGGGTGGCCGGTCGGGTCGGCGCGGTCCAGGCCGGGGCTTGGCCCTCTAATGGGTTTACCTCCTGGTTCTGGGTTCTGGTGTAGGCCACCCTCTGCGGGAGTCGGGGGCATACCCTGGACCTGAGGGGTATACAGTGTGTATCGGGAGTGTGAATGGAGTGTGGTGTCTATATTGTATGTCTTTGAATGAGTGGGTGCGAGGATGAGGGTGGGATTGTATGATTGTGTTTGTGTATGCGTGGGTATGTGTCAGGCTGGGACGTGGACTTCCCCCTCCCCTGGTTCGTTTGTCGCCCCCATCCCATACCGCCCTCTGGTGGGGGTGCCTTGCCCGCCGGCGTGCAAATGGCTCTTGGGGTCTGGGGCTGGGTGCTCGGGTGTGCACTGGCWCGGCCTGGTGGCTGCCTCTCGGGGCTTGGGTCCTCTGGCCCTGTCGGCTCTCGGCTTGGGGGGGGTGCACCCTGGGGGCCGGGCCCTCTGTACCTATGCCCGTGCTTGCCCTAGCACAGCGGGGGCAGGCGGGGACGTGCGTGCTCGTCGCTGCGGGCTGCTGTGGGGCTGCTGCGTGTGGTCKCTGGTGGGGTTCTCCTGGGTCTCCCCTATGGTTTGACCTGGGGGTGGGTGTGCGGCTCTCCTCAGGTAGGTGTACCCGGGGGCCCGGTGCTTGGGGTTCCTCCTGGGGTCGTTGGCTCTGGCCTCCCCTTATGTCTGCCTCGTGCCTTGGGGGTCGGCTCTGAGACTCCCCCACAGTCACTATTATACAATCTGTTGGAGAAATCCTGTAAATTTATGCTTGCTCACAACCGCACGCAGACAGGTGTTCAGATCTGAGGGGTTCTGAATGATCACCAGGTATATATAGGTGGATGTTTGTTTACCTGTCTGAATGTATATATGTATGCCTTTGCTAAGTTTTGTTACCTTAATTATTTGCAGGTGTGCAGACAGATGCTGGATGTATTGTATTGTTTTCTTGACATATATCTCGCATATCATCAATTCTTTCTTTCACTTTTTTCCATTACATTGTAACTTTTCTTTCCTTTCCTTCTTTTTTCCTTTCTTTCTTCTTCTTTCTTGTCTATCAAAAAAAACACTGATGATGAAGAAGCTAAGATACTAATATTCAGATATTTAGTACTGCTTTCTACTGAAGTGGTAAAAAAAAAATATATATATATATTGTCATGGACTAATTATTTATATCTGTTTCCCCTTGACACTGTTCATCTCTCATATCTTTCTGGAGGCTCCAGTCGCCATCACAAGGCACTGAACTTTGACATACTCTGGGTGTGAGCCTTGTGATTGGCTGAACAGTACATTTGGCGATCTGTGATTGGTTGTAAACTGACACATGGTTTTGGCATGTTGTATATTATTTGGCTGTGTTCTGCTGACGCCCGCAGCGGCAAGCAGACAGAACCTTCCTGATTCAGTTCTGTGTGTTCGTTGCTCACAATTAAAATCATATTTGATTATCACATACGCAGACTTTTCTCGTATTATTCCAACGTGTTTCTGCATTTGCCACCACATATATACTGGATGTTTAAAGACAACATTTTTATGAGCCTTATACATAAGCTGCAAAATATTATAATTAACTAACTCATAAGATTTTAATCATTTTAATTTACAAAATAATATATTTGAAGGATGACAGTAATGTTTTCTGGTGATAATTCTTACTGTACTTTTCTGTAAAATAAAAATAGGATTTGTGATTGTTTTGCATGCTTTACCCCAGACTTCAACACAGTATACCAAGTATGGAACAATTGTTGTGTTATACAATAAACAGAGCTTTATCATTGAAGAACTCCCTTACTTTATGCAGTACTCCAACAGATTTAGATATTTTTGTTCTTAAGTGATTCACATGAGCTCTCCATATAAGTTAATATATAAATCGAGTTAGATGTAAATGCAAGTGAGTGTTTGTAGTGATACATAAATGCTAATGATCTGCTCATAATTATGAAAAAGCCCTGATTTAACAACTCACAAGTTACACAAGGCCCATTTTTAAAATTGGGCCATTTTTTCCATTTTTTACCCTAACTTAAGCAGTTTTTCAAGATTTCCCATGGGAGTTGAATTTCAGTCTTTTAAAACATGTTATTACACCTTTACAATCATATTGGTGAAGAAATTTTTTGGTAACAATTTAACTGGTAGATTTGTAAAATATCTCATAAAATGCCGTTACTAATGGGAGATAATGACAAAAACTAATAACTAACTAAGAAATTCTGTGCTTTCTAAAATGCATAAAGTGTTTTCACTCTTCATAACCACCTGTATCTGAGGAAATTATCAACATATTAGATTTTTCTTTTTTTGATTATTTAATGGTACAAACAAAATAATTATTTAAACCACAGAGATTATAGTGTTAGCTTTATTTGCATAATGACAAGTTTCCTGTTTTTTTTCTTTCTTTTCCTTTTAGGATCCTGTGTGAAACTGTGAAGGATTTTGTTGCTAAAGTGGGGAAAGCATATGAGAAAAGCACAGAGAATGCTGATGAGTGTGACTCCATGACTCTTAAAGTAAGTGACAAACATGATGCTGATCATTTGCCTGTTGTGAAAAGCAGCTTCATTACTGTCGTTCTGCTAACTGTGACTGTTTTTCCCCTCTGGGACCTCCAGTGTGCCATCCTGAACGAAAAGCTGGACTCTCTTCTCCAGACCCTCAACTCAGAGTGCCAACCTCTGCCTCCACTTCCCCACTGCACTCCTCCCATTGTAGTGGAGGAGCAGGAAGAAGAAGAAGAGGAGGAGGAGGAAGAGGAGGCCAGTGAGGAAAGCCTAACAGAGCTGAAGGAGAAGTTGGAAGCAGAAGTGACAGAGAAGGGTGGAGGAGGAGGATCTGCTCACCCACTGTTCAAAAGCAGGGAGCAGCTAATGCTCAGGGCCAACAGCCTGAAAAAAGCCATTCGTCAGATCATCGAGCAGGCTGTGAGAGGTACACATCTTCTTCTTCCTGAAGGAAAAACTGTCAGAGACATAGTTAAAGATAAACTCCAACAACTTTAAAGCAGAGTTCTGTGGAAACTTATCTTACTTTCAGGGGTAGACATAAGGATTTTTTTCACAACCTGTTGACAAAATCCTGTCTGCCAAATTTTTTGATTGTCCTTTACAAAAAATATCATATTATTATACTGATGAGCTTATGACTAGTCCAAGCTCAGCCAAAACCAAAATAAATTGCTCTCATCTTAAAGATGGCTGCAATATCCCTTTAATAATCTAGGTATCTAGTTATTTGAAAGATAGGAAAAAGTTTGTACACATAAATGGTGTAAGAACTAAACTTGGCATTATCACATGTGGAGTCCCTCAGGGCTCTGTACTGGGACCCAAGTTATTTATTTTGTATGTGAATGACTTAGTAAATGTGTCAGGACTTTTCGAATGTGCTTTATTTGCTGACGAYACAACATTTTTTTTTGTTTAGGTAAAAATATAGAAAATATGCTTGAGATGGTACAGAAAGAATATGAGAAAATACAAAACTGGTTTCAACAAAACAAATCATCATTAAATTTGGATAAAACAAATTATGATATGTAGGAATAGGATGAAACTGTTGATTTCTCATTTAAAGTAGATGGTAGTGAGATCTGTAAAGTCAGTGAGGTGAAATTTCTGGGTGTCATCATTGATGACAAGCACATCATTTAAGTACAAAAATATCTAAATCTACAGGAGTACTGCATAAAGTCAGGGAGTTATTTAATGACAAAGCTCTGCTTGTGTTGTGTAGTGCAATAATTGTTTCGCATTTACTTTACCGTGTTGAAATCTGGGGTAAAGCTTGCAAAATTACAAATCTGATTTTTGTTTTGCAAAAAAGAGCCGAAAGAATTGTCGCTGGAAAAGATTACAACCATCCATCAAATATTTTATTTTACAAACTGAAAATTTTGAAATTCCATGATTTGGTTAATTATAATATTTTACTATTCATGTACAAGGTTCTTAAAAACTTATTACCTTCCAACATTCAGGCAAATTTAGTTAACAGAGACAGTTGTTMTTATCTTAAGGGGATGGAAATGTTTGTGAAACCAGATTTTTGTACGTGTTTGAGAGAAAGATGTACTTAAATCGTTTAATCCAGGGTATGGTTTAACCAGGGTATAGTTTAATCCAGGGTATAGTTTAATCCAGGGTATAGGATTGTGGAATAGTTTGGAGGATGATGTTAAAAATGTCAGATCTATGTATATATTGAAGAGAAAGATAAAAGCTAGTTTTTTGAAGGTATATGAAAAGTAAAATGTGAATCTATATGAATTGTTTGAGTTGTTGTTTTTATTTTTGAATTTATATTAATTTTTTTGTTTTTGTTTTTTTAATGTTTATATATTTTTCATTTAGTATCATTTAGTAAATTATGTTTCATTTGACTACATTCTGGGGTTAAAAGGGGCAGACATATAAGATTTATTCTTCTTCTGCTACCTTTCATTTTATTTTGATTTGTGTTTTTTCTTGGTTTTCTATTGTTTATAGTTATTTTTTAATGAAATGAATACATTTTTGAATTAAATTGAATTGAATAATCCCCATGTTTAGGCATCACATTTTTAAAAACCTTTAAGGAGTGAGTGTTTGTGAGACAGAGTTCAGATCAGGATCTGGTATTTGCCAGTAAAGTAAAACACGTTATGTCTCCTTCATCCCTCCTTGTTTTGTTCTGTTCAGTGGTTGATGAGCAGAATGCCAATACAGAGGACACCGAGCTGTCATCGTCCCTGGAGTTTAGAAAGGACAGTGAGGACGAGAACAGAGACAGTGAAAAGGACGAAGACACCAAAGAACTGGAAGCCATGTCAGGTGAGTGTTTTTACCTCTGATYCTGATCTCCAATGCATCAACGCACCACCGCCTGTCTGTAGCTAAACTGTTGATCTCCTGATCTTCAGTCTGCTGCAGCAGAGAACTACTTCAGTAATAAATKAACTGACCTGAAGATGTGATAGCAGGACAGGGCTTGTCATTTGTTTCTTGCATGCATTTGACCTCATGGAGGACTCACAGGATGTTGCTTGGAGTTGGGAACAACTTCAGTTTGGAAAAAGAGCAAAACTTTGAAAATTAAAGGCCCAGCTTTCTTTAAGAAATGCATACTGCTTTTCATGCCAGAGTTTTAAACAGTCATCTTATGTTGAGCACTGACAGAGTTGTACAAGCAATTTTAGTCAAATCTTGAAAATGCTGAGAATATATGTTGTAAATCATGTGTCAAACAAAAAAAACTTTTTTTTAACTTAACATGAAATTTGTTTCTTATATCAATGGTAAACTTTAAATTTATGGTTAAATTCAACAAAATTAATTTAATAAAAGTAAATGAAATAAAAAATAAATTAAAAAAATTCCTGTCCCTGAGCTGTTGGCTTGAAGTAACTGAACAATTTAGTTGGATAGCTCAGTACTGAAAATAAGCTGCTTTAAAGTCACCATCAAACATAAACTAAATCTGCCATAATGCAGCTACTCACTAGAAACTCATCTGTGAGTAAAACTTTATTTGTTTTACTTTTAATAATATTTCTGTATTTATTACAGATTTAGTCAGTCATATTAGTTCTTATCAGTGTTTAAAAGAGGACGTGTTAAAACTCTGTTTAGTCAAAGTTAAACATGAAACATCAAAGTTAATTTCAAGTGGCCCTTCGAGGGCCACCATAACACTCATGTGGCCCTCAGTGAAAATGAGTTTGACAAACCTCTTAGCTTTCATTTTTGAAAAGATAATATCATATTATAACATGCAAAATACAGGGAGGTAGATCTTATTTAGAACCTGTAGAGCAGTCCCTTTAAGTCAATATTGACACAATGAAAAGACTTGTCACCTGATAAGCGGAACCGAGTGATCTCACACAGAGACAGTTTTTCAAAGAGAGTGTTTTTATTTACTGGTGCTGTATCGTTTGGACCCAGGGCTGAGGGGAAAGCAGAACAAGAGGTAAGTAACAGTTCCAGAAAGTCTTTACTTAGGATAAGTAATGAATGATTGGTTAGTTTTTCTTCTTACAGGTTTTGGTGATCTCAGTCCGGCACGACCAGGGGAAATCCAACAGAGTGTCTGATCTTCAGTAGAGTGACCTGGAATCCAATACAGGTGAGTGGCACAGTGAGTTCAATCCTTTAGTGGCAGTGCAGGTGGTGAACATGGTGAAACTTCCTTGTGAGCAGTCCGTGGTTAAAAAGTGGCAAAGCTTGGTCCAAATTGCAATGATGCATCAGCAAAGACCAAACGTGCAGTGAGCCTTAAAAAGGATCCTGAGCTTGGTACCAGCAATCACCCGCAGCTGACATCAATCAGGCAGAGGGAGCTCCAGCAAAACACCAATTGTGTCAGTACCCTCTTCTCAAATATCGCCTCCAGGCGACCCACGACGTYTTTCAGGATGGGACCTGTAAAAATCAGAGATGAGGGAGGGATCCATGACCTCTCTTCTGGCCCATAACCTTCCCAGTCAACCAGGTACATGAAACCTCTGCCCCTTCTCCTGACATCCAGGATGTGCCTAACAGTATAGGCAGGATGGTTATCAATAATCCGGGCAGGAGGGGGGAGGACGGAAGGAGGGCTGAGAGAACTCTCCAGCACAGGTTTAACCTGTGAAACATGAAAGGTGGGGTGGATTTTCATGGAGGTAGGTAAAGTTAGACGGATAGCAGATGGATTGATGATGTGTTCGATGGTGAAGGGCCCGATGAATCGGGGTGCCAGCTTTCTCGGTGTATCTTTAAGTTGGATGTCTTTGGTGGACAACCAGACTCTTTGGCCAACTTGATACCGGGGTGCTGCCGTTCGCCGACGGTCAGCAATCTTCTTGTTCCGATCTGCTGTGCGTAGCAGGGCCTGCTTGGTCTGTCTCCAAATCCTACGGCACCTGTGGAGATGAAGCTGGACTGAAGGGACAGAGATGTCAGTTTCACAACTGGGGAACAGTGGTGGGTTATAGCCCAAGGATGCTTCAAATGGTGACAGTCCTGTGGCAGAGGATGTGTGAGTGTTGTGGGCATACTGTATTCAATCCAAATTAGATGGGTGGACCAGGTAGAGGGGTTGTCATTTACCACACAGCGGAGAGCGGCCTCCAACTCCTGGTTGCAGCGCTTGGTCTGGCCATTGGATTGGGGGTGGTATCCAGACGTTAGACTGACTGAGGCTCCTAAGGCGTTGCAGAAAGCCCTCCACACCTATGAGACGAACTGGGGTCCTCTGTCAGAAACAATGTCACTGGGGATTCCATGGTTACAAAAACAACTTCAACAAGACATTTTGCGGTTTCTAAAGCAGTGGGCAGCTTGGTGAGTGGGATAAAATGCACAACTTTAGAAAAACGGTCAACCACAGTCAGGACTACAGTGTTACCCTGTGATGGGGGAAGGCCGGTAACAAAATCCAGGGCGATATGGGACCATGGCCGACCTGGAACTGGTAGAGGTTGTAGAAGTCCACTGGGGGGTCGATTGCTTCCCTTAGCTCTGGCACATGTTGAACAGACAGAGACAAACTCTCAGCAGACATATTAGGCCACCAAAAATATCTCGTGGCTAAAAACTGCATACGAGAAGCACCAGGGTGACATGAAAAAGGACTTGAATGCAACCAGTCCAACACTTTAGTTTTAACTGTAGATGGAACAAACAGTTTACCCTGTGGTCCTCCACCTGGATCAGGTTCGGTCTTCTGAGCGTCCAAAACGTCCTTTTGAAGGGCTCAGGTGAGAGAACCCACAACACAGGACTTTGGGATGATGTTTTCTTCCACAGGGTGTTCTGAAACAGAAAACTGACGGGACAAGGCATCTGGTTTGACATTCTTAGAACCAGGTCTAAATGTGATGATGAAATTAAATCGTCCAAAAAATAGTGACCACCGTGCCTGATGAGGATTAAGTCTCTTGGCTGTGTGTAAATAAGACAGGTTTTTATGATCAGTCCAGATGCTGAAGGGCTTTTCTGTACCTTCTAGCAAATGACGCCATTCTTCCAAAGCTAGTTTAATCGCCAGGAGCTCTCTATTACCGACATCATACTTTCTTTCTGCTGGTGACAATCGGCGGGAGAAAAAGGCACATGGGTGAGTTTTACGATCAGTCTCAGACCTATGGGATAGGATCGCCCCCACACCAGTATCAGAAGCATCTACTTCTACTAAGAACTGTTTGGCTGGGTCAGGGTGTTTGAGGATGGGTGCAGAGACAAACCTGGACTTGAGCTCGGTAAACGCTGCGTCARCTTCAGGAGACCACTTGAAAGTCCTCAGGGTAGAAGTGAGTTGAGTCAAGGGGGCTACCACGGTGCTGTAGAGGAACCTCTGTAGCTGTTTTCGATCAGCAGGAACAGGCCACTCTGCTACTGCCTTAATCTTCTCTGGGTCAGTCTGAAAGAAACCTTGGCCRAAAATGAATCCAAAAAATGATACTGAAGGTGACATGGAATTCACATTTTTCAGCCTTTACAAACAACTGGTTCTCATGAAGGCGTTGTAAAACTGCTCGAACATGTTGGTGATGTTGGTTCAAGTCCTGAGAATGAATCAAAATGTCATCCAAATAGATAAACACGAAAACACAGAGGAAATCCCGAAGCACATCATTTATTAAGGATTGGAAAACCGCTGGTGCATTAGTTAGCCCAAATGGCATAACTAAAAATTCAAAATGGCCCAGTGGTGTTTTGAAAGCAGTTTTCCATTCGTCCCCCTTTTTAATTCTTACCAAATGGTAACCGTACCTTAGGTCTAACTTGGAAAAAATGGAGGCCGAATGGAGTTGTTGATGGACTGAATCGATTAGAGGTAAGGGGTATTTGTTTTTAATGGTAATCTGATTTAAACCTCTGAAGTCAATGCAAGGGCGGAGGGTTTTGTCTTTCTTCTCAACGAAGAAAAACCCAGCCCCTACAGGGGATGATGAGGGGCGGATAATACCAGACTATAGGGATTCTTCAATGTAGTTTTTCATAGCCTCATATTCAGGACCTGACAGATTATAGAGGCGACTTGGTGGCAAGGGTGAACCGGGTAACAAATCTATGGAACAGTCATACGAATGATGAGGGGGGAGAGCGAGGGCCTTGGTTTTACTAAAGACAGAGGCTAAATCATGATATTCTACAGGGACTTTGGAGAGATCAATCTTTTAATTAACATTTTCCTTCAAACAGGACTCAGGAACTRCTGACTTTAAACAGTTATTTAAACAATAGTCACTCCAACTGTCCACCCTCTTTTCTTTCCAGTTTATGACAGGATTGTGTTTCAAAAACCAAGGATAGCCTAAAACCAAATGAGTAGTATTAGAAGGGAAAACATAAAACTCACCAAACTCTCGGTGGTTGCCGGAGATGAGTAATTGGAGCTTGGGGACCACATGTGAAATTACGGTGATGTTCTGCCCAGTTATTCCAGCGACAGGGAGAGGGACCTTTAACGTCAGCGTGGGGAGTTGAAGTTGCTTCACGAGGTCAGTAGAGATCAAACTCTGTTCAGCCCCAGAGTCTAACAAAACGTGAATGGGAAACTTAACTCGTGGAGTGATGATCATGGCGTGCAAGGTAAGGCGAGTTGCAGGGGAAAGCTCAGAATGGCCCACCAGGATGTCCCTGTTTACTGGCGAGCCCGCCCTTTCCCGGTGTGGGGCATTTGGCGACAAAGTGATCATTACCACCGCAGTAAAAACACTGGCGTGCATCGAGTCGTCTTTGTCTCTCCTCCGGGCTCAGACGCGCTCTCCCAAGCTGCATCAGTACAGGTCCGGACTCAGGTAAAACAGATTCCACTGATTGCGGGACTGAGACGGGTTGGTATG